TTTTTTGTTTTATTTTATTCCACTCATTTTTTTGTTTTTTTAAATAAATAAATGATCCACTATATGGGTGTATAGTACTAATTATTTTTTTCAATTTAGAGAAATGCAATTGAAAGCCGAAAACATATACAGCAGAATATGATATATCGGCTTGATTTACATGTGCGCTAATATTGATTATGAGGAAAGTACACTGGTAGAGTGGTAGGCTTAGATTTGTATTTGAATGCCAACACTAACGAAAAGAACAAATTAAATGGACCCAATAATAATTGGACAAGATAAGAGGTTTATTGCTAGTGTCCGACTTATCTTGTCCGCTACATAACTAACTAGTACAACACGCGTGTATTACACGGGGTGTTTGTTAAAAAATTATTCTTAAATTTAAAAATTAATAAGAAAATTATATTAAATTTAGTTTACTTTTTTACAAAAAAAAAATATATCCTCCCTATATATAATTACAGAATGCGTTGAGCCTACGTGGCTGGTTCTGGTGCTTCAGAATCCTACTTGGCAAAGAATCATGCTTCGTAATTAGGTTTGGATAAATAATATTTATATATTAATAATTAATAATCTAGGTTTGGATATTCCATAAATATTATTTAGCTAACTTAGGTATTTTAATATCACTTGTACTAATATAACACTTTAATTCTTTGTTATTTTACATAGTGAGGCATTAAGTGACTAATATATCCCTGACTTTTGATTTGTTTCCTGCAATTATTTATTGAATTGTAAATGTATTTTTAAAGTTGATAACTTGTTTATTTGTTATCGGTTTTACATATACAATATATCAAATTAATCATCTTTTGATTATCTTCGATTTGACATCCATATTGAATATATGAAATAAATAAATATATTTATCTTTACAATAATAAAAAATAATACTATTTATTAAAATTTATTAGAAAAATAAAATTATTTCTCACTTGATATATTTATGTTTAATGTAGTTATATGTTGTACGTTAAAAAAATTATTATAATATAACACAAGTATATCACACAAATAAAAAGTGTCATACTAGATATATAATAATATATATTTTTATTAAAGGTATTTAAATTTTCAACTATTTTTTCTCATTAATTTTAGATTTTAAGAAGAAAATTAGCAAGCACCCGTGTAATACACGGGCGTTGTACTAGTTACTATATATTTTAGAATGATATGTGTTACTTCTGATTTACATGTGTTATATTATATTAGTTTTTATAACTTATATCATATAACTACTT